GCCTTTGAAAGTGGTAATACAAACTTAAATCATTGAATTATTAAAATGAATGTGATTCATAGGTTTGGTTTACTCTAGTCCATAACTGTTGATCAAGGCACATTGTTCAATGGGGATAAAATTAAAGGGTTTGCCACGGAATATGGCATTCAAATATTAAATTCCTCACCCTATTATGCCCAAGCAAGTAGGCAGGTTGAGGCAACAAACAAGATTGTCAAAACTACTTTAGAAAGGATGATTGAAGACAATCTTAGGGATTGGCATAATCTCCTATCAGAAGTGCTTTGGGATTATAAAAATTCAAAAAGAAATAGCACAGGAATAACTCCATATGAGTTGGTGTATGGGCATGATGTTGTGTTACCTCTAGAAGTAACAGTAAGGTCTAATCGACTGGCTACGCATTTGAATATCCCTATGGATGAATATGTCAAGGCCATGTCGATTGAGTTACAAGACTTAGAGGAAAAAAGGATTATGGACTTTAATCATTTGATAGCTTAGAAAAAGAAAATTGAGAAGAGTTACAACAAAAAAGTGAAAAGGAAAGTGTTTTCTGAAGGAGAGTTGGTGTGGAAAACCATATTACCAATTGGCATGAAATGTTCAGAATATGGCAAGTGGTCTCCTAACTAGGAAGGTCTGTTAGAATACATAAGATCCTTAGAGGAGGAGCTTACCATCTTGCTTCTTTGGAAGGTGAGCCATACATGAGGGTCATTAATGTCAAGTACCTTAAAAAATATTATCCAACTACGTGAGAATGCATGAATAAGTCATGAAAGCATGATAAGCCATAGGAAAACATGATAGATATTCCATTAAGAATTTGTGCAAAAGAGTACAATCCCAAAAAGTACAAATCAACATTTGGTTTGAGTTTGTTTTATGGCAGGTGGGCCACCTTCTACTTGAATAAGAAGTGTTGGAAGTTGTTGAGAAAAGCTGGTTTGTTCTTGTTCAACAGCAGCTCTTTGAGCTCTTACATGGGCCAGTTGAGCTTCTAGTTGAACCTCTTCTGCTGTGAAAAGAGTAATCTGAGTAGTGAGGGTTTGAGATATGGTAGAAGCCTCAGTCAAGGCATTAATTGATTTTCTCATTTGATCTACTTGGGTTTCAACAGTTTTTGGCTCAGCATGAAATCGATTAATTGCCACTAAATGCTGTGGAAGTTCTAAGAGGAAGGTTTGGAAAGCCTGCACTTGATCTGGGTCAAAGATTTGAGGCATCAGATGTGCAATGGCTTCCAGGTAATCAGTCAAAGTTGTGGCTTGAGAAAGAGCCAAACTGTCTAGGGGCTGGCTAAGTATTTTGAAGAATTAGTCTACCAGTTTTTGCTCTTCATCAGATAGTTGTTTTAATATTTCTTCAACAATTAGATTGGCAGCAGTTTGTTGAACAACAGAGATGCCCAAGAGTAAGTCTTGCAGAAGTGGATCTCTGAGTTACTGAATTAATGGGTTTAAGTCAGTGATTAATTCAAAACTATGGAAAATAGACTACTTGAACATATGTTACCTCTATTGAAGGTGTAATAGAAGTCTCAGTGTTGGGCAAGTTGGAAGTGGCCACAGCTGCTCTTGTTTCAACTTGGTCTGATAAGGGTGCATCTACTGGGGTAAAGGTGGATGGAATGAAGATGCTGGAATAGAGGTGGTGGGGAAATGAACAGGCTGTGTAAGCACCTCATGAGGAGTTCTCATGTCACTCAGGGTTGATTCATTAGCTAATACCTCAGTATCAGCTCCGTCAATCTCATTCCTTTGGTTGTAGAATGAAATATGACTGTCCTGAGGAATGTTATCATTTTGTTCAGAGACAATGTCATGGATAGGAGAACTTCTGTCGACAGCAGCGGTATGGTTGTCAGGATTGTCAGTTAAATCAATTGGGTTTTCTCTGACATAACCTGAGTCAATTGGAGTTTCTCTAGCATGGCAAGGGGCTTCCGATTCTTTTGAGGAAGGGTCTACACTAGGAAAATTGATGATCTCATTTGTTCTATGGTGCACTCCTCTAAGAGGGAAGGCCATTAAGTCCTCTAAGGCTATCCCTTGAGGAATCTCAGCCAAAAGCTGTGCCAATTTAGGGGCCAGCTCTCTTAGGTCTACCCTCTTTGAGTCAAATCTCTCTGGGCCAGTTTATTCTTCTAGAATGCCAATTTGTTCTTTCTGAGTGAACTGGGGATTCAGATGCCCTGAGTTTGTTGGAGGAGAAGGCATTTTGGTTTGGTCGTCAAGCACAGAAGGGCGATTGATTTGAGCTTTAGACAGCTTTTCATTGTCAGGCATAGAAGATGGTAGAATAGACTGAGTCTCAGGCAATCTCTGAGGAGCAGAAGGAGATGTAGTTGGAGAGAGAAGTCTTCTCCTCTTGTATGGTTGAAAGTATATCTGAAAGAGAAGAAGGAGATTGGAATAAGGTATCAGTATGATTAAACAAAATGTATAGTAATTTAGTAAAAGTTTGAATGAAAAACTATACCGTTATTGGAAGAAAAGAAGAACTACTAGAAGAAGAGGATGCTGGTATAACATGAGTCGTGATTTGAAGAGGAACTGGTTGTTCTTGCCTTCTTTTTGATCTCCTTTCAAGGGCAACACCATCCTCAGCATCATCCTCTAATTCCTCTAATTGGGGCTGAGAAGATAGAATTTCTTGAATTTCTTCTTGCCTACTCTTGGTCTTCTTCTCAATCTCTATACCTTGGTTATAAGGTATGAATCCTTTATAGCTAGTGGTGTTTAAAGGATTTCTTTTGGGTTTCTTTGGTGGGTTCATTGGAGCCTTGCCTTTGTCCCTAAGAGCTGGATCAGCCTGGGTAGGCATCTCTATAGCCAAAGGAGTAAAATGGCTAAGTGAGTATCAACACAAACTTAAAACTAAACAGTGTGCATAAGGAAAGAAAAAATGAGGTAGAATTACCAATGGTCATCTCTACTCCTCTCCTATTGTCTGGATGCACATTCCAAAGACAAGCTTGAAGATCTTCATCAAAGATCACATCACTCATCACAGACCACCATTCAGTGAACCTTGTGGTAGTGTAGGGATTAGTCTGACAATAATAAAAACTAAATTGATCAAATAGATTTTGATTTTCAGCCAGCAAGTCTCTCACTTCTTGGGAGATTTTGAATTGAATTATGGATCCAACTTGCTCATGGATAGTAGGATGCAAGTAAGGACAATGGATAATTTAATATAGTCCCATTTGCCTGGTCCATTGGTTAGGATTATAGCTTTCAAAACTACAATTAGAAAGTTTATTGGTAGAGATGGATCCACCCACTAAAATGTATCTGGGAGTGAGGACTTGAGCCCATAAATCTTTTGTTTTTGCCTCCAAGTGTCACTTAATGTTTGAGGGGCAGCATTAATGTATGTTAATCCAGTGGACTTGAAATGAAAGGTATGGAAAGAGATGAAAAGTTAAGTCTCTATTGACAGACAGTTCAAAGAGAATAGTAAACACCTTAGTAAATGAGTTGGATGAAGTTGGTAGAAAGGTTAAGAGGAATTCAGCATAACTTTCACAGGGAGAGAAGTAAGGGGTTTGAGTGGTAGGCCTAATTTCAGGAAAATAAGCATAAAACTAGGCTTGAAAGAGCCAAAAAGGACCTCCAACTTTATGATCTATCTCTTTATCAACTAAAGAGAAAAGACCCTTGTATAGTGTGCCCAAAAGGAAGGAGGCAAAGGTCAGTTGTGTTCCTTCTTGGATACAAGTGGCAAGGGCCAAATACTCTTTGGTGATTTTTAGGCCTGGGACACATAGAGAGTGTTAAGAGAGCCACAATAAGTAAAAGGCTGTTTTTTCTTCTTTAGTGGGTTCATCAGAAAATTTTTGGTATTTGGTTTGGAATTTTCCATAACTAAGGTCAGTATTAAGTGGGACTACTGATTGGGGAGTTAAGAGGGCACTTATATGTTGGCCAGCAACATGAAGGCTAGTCAAATGTACAACATCAAGGATAGTAGGAGAAATCATACCAAACTTTGAAATGAGGGAATTGCAAGACAGAGACCAAAAGCAGACTGTGACGCTAATAGCCCATTTGTCCATGTCTAGGGCTAGGGTTGACAATCGAATGGCATCATAGATGGCAAGAGCTCTCCAAATGTCAATATCATATATCATCATGAGATGAACCCATAATCTCCAATTAAGGTTTGGTTTCTGCCATGAGCGTAAGGGGTTAGGGCTCGAATGACACTGATTCTAGGCTTGCTTCGTTTTTTTTTGAAAAGTATCACTTCAGTATCTAGAATAGGATAATGAAGGGTAAGTTAATAAGGGATTTTCGCAAAAAAGGTTGGATCTAATTTGGGCAGAGGTTTTGTTGTGAAGGATAATGCAGCTATCAAAAATATGTTGGCAAAGTAGCTACTGGAACTCAAGTGGAAAACGTTGCACAGGTGGCATTTCTGTTTGTTTCTTTCCCTTGGTTTGAGCTCCTTTGGGTGTCATTAGGATGAACAATCAGGGTTTCGAAGCAGAAAAAGTTTGAAGAGACGAAGAATAGAGTGAAATAGAGAGAATGAGAATAGTGAAGTGATGATTTGAATTCTGACGGTCACATAGCTTATGGTGGACCCTCCTGATTGAGCATGGGCCTGTTACTAACAGTTGGGCTTAACGGCTGGCCCTTTTTGAATTCGTGTTTTGGGTCAATTTTATCGGCCGAGTGTTATTATTAGTATTTGGGCTTTAATACATGGGTTTGATTTTATAAGCCTAAATGAATTGCCCAAGTTTATAAGTGTCCAAAACCTTATTTTGTCCTGTTTTGACATTCATTCAAAACAAAAACATCTTTTTGTCTTGAATGAGGGGGGCATTGTTGGCACTAAAATTTATATTCTCTGTCGAATAAACACAGAAAATCTAGAGGGTTGATCCAATGGATAGAAGGAGTGAAAACCATAAGTTTACAGTGGGGGATGGACTCCAGAATTCAGAGCAAGAAGCAGTTGAAGCCATTTAAGGAGCGGATATGGCTGATGTAGTTTCTTCTGTCGATTCCTCTGGTAATGCAGTGGGACGTGGCCAAACGTGGCCCAACTATCAAGTCATGGAGTTAGGCATGCAAATGAGACAAGACACGTGGTTTGTATGCAAAGAAGTGCATAAGAAAAAATGCTACAACGAAGAAGCAACTACTAGCGGTTATGAAGATCATGGGCAGTTATGCAGGAAGTGAATGAAATTTTCTCCATGATGGGACACGTAGGAGCAGAGAAGTAGCAAAGCCAACAACATAAAGGTTGGAAATTCGAAGAAAAGAGGACCTTCAATCAAATTCACAACACATGTGAAATTAGGAGTAATTTAACTTAGTTAGCAATAGTTTCTGTACTTAGGAGTAGTCTGTTTACTATTTTAGCCTCTGTGGCCAAATTTTCCTCTGTCAATTGTCATGCACTTTGAACTTGTAATTTTATTTTTGTAGTTAAGTGACAAGTTTACTTGTTCTTCAATCGATTTTCAGTTTATTCACACTTTGTTTCTTCGTATTACAACCTTCAAAGAAGTCTTTGAATCTGTCAAGGAATAGGACATTCAAACCACAATTGTTTGATCTATTTGTTGTTTGTGAAAACTTTGGTTTCTCTGTCGAATCTCCTCTAGCGATTTGACTTGAACCAGATTTTTGCTAACAATATGTGAAAACTTTCAATTTAATATTTTTGTTTCTGTTTCCAAACATTAATGCGTTACATTCTATCAATGGATCGATGCTCAATTCCTGTTTGTTGTGATCTCGTATCATGTTTTGCTCCAAATCGAATGAATGAATTTTGAACTTGGGTTGAATTACTTTGAATGTTGTTCGTTTGTTGTTTGTTGTTTGTTGTTGTAGAGCATATTAATTGTGGCAATGGTCAAATCGATAGAGATATTCTTATTCTTCTTCTTCTTCGTGGGTTTTGAAAAAGATTAGACTCTTTCTTTTCTCAGTAGGTTTTGTTAGGGTTTTTGGAAGGGAGGCTTTTTTGGGGTGTGGAAGGTGGGCATTCAATGGGTGAAATGTTTAAGGATAATTTTGGTATTATTTGGAGAGGAAAAAGAAATTTTAAGGGTTTCAAAATTTATAAGTAAGGGTCCAAAAAAATGAAGGGTCAAAAATAATTCATGAGGTGCTAATAGCACCACTCTAAATTATCCCTTAAATTATTGATATCATACGTTAAAATTTTCTAAATAACTATTTTGTCCTTTTTTCTATTATTTTTTCTTCCTATATCGTGACTACATTATATAACTTTTCATCATTAAACTCTATCTGAACATATTCTTAGTGAGTGATGATATACAAATATAAATTTTATACAGAATTTTCAAACACAATGATATAGTTTAATGGTGACCTTTCACTTTAAAAGAAAACACACATCAACATGATTTATATTTACAAAAAGGGCAAATTACAGCGGTAGTCCCTGTAGTTTACCTTTTTTTTTTCATTTTGGTCTCTGTTGTTTCAATTGGATTAATTTTGCCCCTTAATTTTACAGATTGTGTCATATTAATCCAATAAATAATGACAGTCAAGTTTGATTATGTTTCAATTTGGTGCCTGCAGTTTACAAGATGTGTTAATTTGGTCCCTATTGCTTTGACTTTCTTATAAACTACAGAAACTAAATTGACACATCTTGTAAACTACAGGCACCAAATTAAAACATTATTTGATTTTCCATTCATCAAACTTAACCGCCGTTATTTATTGGATTAATATGACACAATTCGTAAAATTAAGGGCAAAATTGATCAAATTGAAATAATAGGGACCAAAATGAAAAAACAAGAAAACTACAAGGACCATTTGCGTAATTTACCCTCACAACAATGTCACTATCACCACATTTTTATGATATTTTTCGTATAAATTTTTATATACGAATATAATTTTTCATTTTTATTTCCACCATTATATCTAGATTAGATAAATTTAATTTAGATATATTTAAAAAATATGTCAAATTTGTATAAAATGTATTGAATTTTAATATTTTATATTTTTTTTGTATTTGGTGAATTTAAAAAAAATCAAAAAATATTATACTTCTTAAGTTATCTAAAGGCAGAGATTCCTAAACTTTTGGAATCTACTCATAAATCTAAAGGCAAAGATAAACTCAAAATTAATCCTATAGTCAAGAAGGAGAAAGGAAAGATACAAGGGAACTTTGAAAGAATCCAATGCTATGAATGCCAAGGATTTGGCCACTTTGCTTCAGAATGCCCCACTCATTTGGAGAAGAAGAAAGCCCTGGCCATCACTTGGGATGATGAATCAGAATCTGATGAAGATGAAAGTGACAACGAAGATGAAGGTGAAGAGGGACATAAACAATTCCTTGCTTTCATGGCGGCTTCCGAAACTGAAAGACGAACAAAGCCTCCGAAGAGCCCAGTTAAGAATGCCACTGATGATGAATCCTCGAGAAGTGATGATGAAGAGCTTGAGCAAGCTTATGAAAAGTTGTATAAGGAATCTCTTAAGTTATCCAAATTAAATGACAAACTCACTATGAAACTCAAAGCATGTGAAAGTGAGCATGTCAAACTAAAAGAGGAGATTTCCGAGGCTAGGATTGATGCCATCAAGATAGCTAATGATCGACAAGCTCTTTGTACAAAACTCTTGACTTGTGAGGCAGAGAGGAATGAGCTACAAGAAATCTATGCAACATATGAAGAAAAAATTGAAACTCTCGAGATGTCTCAAGTTGCTTTAGAAGAACTAATGATCAAGAAAGAGGAAGAACTCAAGTGTACTATGGCTACCATTGGTCTTTGGAACAGAGGTTCAAAGACTTTGGATAATATTATTGGGTCTCAACAAATTTGTTCAAACAAGAGTGGCATTGGCTTTGGTGGTAAGAAAGAGCAAAAACAGAGTGCTTCAACATCTCATGATATAAGAACTCAAGGAAAGGGAGAACAAAAAATTCAATATAAGGATGGACTTCTCAAACTTCCTAGAGTTGGTAAGGTAAAAGAAAAGAAGGTACACCATGTTTTTATTTGTCATCATTGTGGTGTGCATTGTCATATTCGCCCTTATTGTTATAAGTTGCATGGGAGAGTGTATTTGCCTAGACCTAAAAATTGAAAGTTGGAAGCCAAGTCGAGACGGGTTCCCATTGCAGGGGAAAGGAACCACAATGTCAAGACACCACCCAAGAACTGCAATTCTCACAACTTTGTTCGTACTAAAGCAGTTTGTGTGAGAAAACTTGACTTGTGTTAATTTGTTTTGACATTTTAGTTTTTGGGTTTCTGTGTGTTTTTTTTGTCATTACATGTGTGCTTGTTCATTTTTTTGTCTTGCTTTATTTTTGAAAAAAAAAAAACCAAAAAGATTTTCTTAGTATGGTTTTGCAAGCTTGAAATTTTTGAGTGGTCCTTGGTGCATATTGGAATTGATGAGAATATCCATTATATGTTAATATATGTGTGCTTTCTGTGGTCATTACTAATTTTGGAGTGCGTATTTTTTGATTAGTATGTCTCATTCTGTACACACTCTTGGATTAGCAAATATCAGAGTCTTTCGCCTTAGTGATTATTTTTTCTCTATGGACTTCTATCATTGATCTTTTGCGTTTCTAGAGGAATTGACCTATACTAGCATATCATGGGTGATGTTGAGTCTCTTAACCACCTAATTACCAATACACCTTCGGAGGTCTAACTTTCAGATCACTACTAGGATTGAATCTAGTGTTTGTCGAACTCCAAGAGTCACACACACACTTTTATCATGGGATCTATGCTTTTCACATAATGCATCACTTTCTTTCATGAGGAATCTTCTACAGACTGTGCACATTGTGTTTACTAGTAATTGTGCTTCTTGGATAGTCTTGTGTGTTTTAAGGTACTAATCTGAAATTTCTTGCTTGCTCCATCATATTATTTTTGTCGTTTTCTTCTTGTTCACTGTTTTCAGTGTTTGTGGTTGCTTTTAGTGATGGGGAGTTTGGTTCATCTTGACTTGGGTTGGTTTATGATCTTGCTTTGTTGATTGAGAGTTGTTTTTCATGAGTCTTAGTTTTCATCTATTCATGTTTTCCATCTCATGTTTCAAGATAATCGTGTCATATGTCTATTGCTTTTTCATATACTCTTGTGGGACTAATAGTTGTTTTGGAGATTGTGGCACTAATAACTGTTTTGCAGATCAAGACCTTGAGAAAGAAGTTGGGTTTTGGTGGCTGTAATGGGTTGGGGTGTTTAGGATTTTATTTGTTAGGTATGTTTTGTCACGGCATTGCCAAATGGAGAGATTGTTCGGTTTTATTCTTGGCAATCCCGTTTGACAAAACTCCTTTCAGTTGTATTTGTTTTCGCATATTTTATTTCAGTGAGGCTATGAGTTTATTAGATGCGAATCCAACCCGAATCGTGCCTTTGTCAATTTCCATGGATCAAAATCGAGGTTGTAATAGGATCAAGTTTTCCAGATTTTTCAATTTTGGTCGTCCCGCTCGAGCGGGGAAATTGACGCTCGAGCAGGGATTGCAAGCTCACAGCATCTCTGTTTCGCCTGAAAAAGTACTGGATGGTGTGATTCGATGCTCGAGTGTGGAAACTTCCGCTCGAGCGTGAAGCCTATATGAATCACACAATTTTGAAGTCTCCGCTCGAGCGGGAATTACCACGCTCGAGCGAACCGCGCGAACACAGGTTCTTGGATTTCTATAAGGAATTGGTTTTCTTCCAAAATTAAGATTACTTTGGATTTCTATAAGTAGTTGGTTTTTCTCCCAAAACTTGGACAAGTCCCCCAGATCTTCTTTTTGGATTCTAAGATTTATATCTGGGGATTTTTTTGATAATTTTCTTTGATGTTTTCATTGAGTATTCAACTCATGGTTTAAGAAACATACATCAAAGGTTTGTTTGTTTATTCTACACAAAAGAGAAAGTTGTTCTTCGGTGGATTCTGAAGAATTCGAGCCTGAACCTTTGGTGGATTCCGGAGTAGCTCATCGTCAAGACAATTCCGAGATGAAGACGGGGTTGGAAGAGGCACATAGAGGTTGGTTCAATTCGGGCGTAGATTTGCTAGGTAATTGAGAGTATACCTGTGTAATTCCTTTATATCTTCTTAGTGGATTGTTTTGTGGCTGTTGCCCGTGATTTTTTTATCACAATTGGAGGTGTCCAATTATGGTTTTTCCACGTAAAATCGTTGTATCGATTTGTCTTGATTGTTTGATTGAGACTGTTATATATTGCTTAAAATTAATACATAATCACAAATCAACATCTAGGAGATTTCTAGATTTTTCAAATATTATAGAATTTTGGTATTAATTTTTAACATATTTAGTATTGTTTACCACCTTTTGTTACTTGTCCGTGCATAGCATGAGTTATCACTAGTGTATATATATACAAATATTTGTTGAAGCATTGCTATATTTGGGGACATTGAGAGTGATCTCAAGGGCAGAGGTGCAACTTGGGACGGATTTAATTCAAGTAATTCGAACTTAGTTTGAATTTTTTGAGGATTTAAATAATATATTTTTGAATTTAGTATTGATCTGGATAAAAATTTAAGAGTTCGAATTAAATTTAAGTAAATTTGGATAAAAATATCAAATAATTCGAGCAATTCGAATTCCGAATTATATATATATATATATATATATTAAATATATATATAAATTATTAGTCATTATATGATATTAATGTAATTGAGATTATTAAATCATATTGAATATATATATTATATACACAAGTAACACAAAATCTTACATTTTTATTCTTATTCATAAATTGTAAATTCTACTATAGCGACATCTGTATTAAATTATATAAATTATTTATTTTGGTGTTATTAATGATTTTCTAAAAAAAATGTACATAGAGTCTAATTTTAGTAAATTAATAATTTAATTGCAAAAAAAAAAATTAAAATTCATGTCCAATTCAGGCAACTAGAGTATAATTCGAGTTGGGCTTGGACAGACAATCTTGGATTACAATTCGGGCTTGGGTAGGCCTGGGTAAGTCTGAACACAACTTGGGCTGAGTTTGAACAAATTTCCAACCTGACCGAACTTGCCTGAGTTGCACTATATTTTGGGCACAGAATTTTGGTGTTTTGTAGTTAAGAGCTTATTACATATAAAAAAAAAAAAAAAATTGTTCTATTAAAATTTAAAAAAATCAGGAGGTTGAGGGGAGTTTGTACTCACTGAATCTCCTTCAGTGAATTCTATTTTCTTATATATTTAATTTCATATTTTTAATGTAATTTTTACTTTGCCTATAAATTAAAGAAAAAAATTGTTTCCTTTTGAACACAAATATGAGGATATTCTTGGCATGTTCACTGACTGTGATTTTTAGAATACAGTAATATCTTTTAAACGAATTGAAATAAAATTTACCACCAAATTTCTATAAATAATAAGAATGCCTATTTGGTTATTTTATTGTAAAACTTGCACTAGCAAGGTTGCCCTAACTGTAGTCAATTGACTCAACTGACATTCTCTTTGGATAGATGAATTTTAAATGAATAGATTCGAGATTAAATATTATAAATATCATATATAAATTGAAAAATTAAAAATAAGGATTAAACTAAAAAAATGTATTATATTATGATCTTTATATGACTACAATCCTAGTATGAAAATTTTAAAATAATTACTTTACAGATTTAAATGTTCTCCATTATATTGTTAGAATGGAGATCACAATTTCAACGCATAAAGTTGCAACCGAATATTAAATTGGGGTTTTTTTTTTAGGATTCCTGGTATTAAGACTTTATAGTATAAAGGACATCTAATATTTTCATAATGTCTAAGGTCCCTCAATATGATCCAGAGAAATTCTGCTCCAAAGAAAATTTGTCCATAGAAATTTCAACCCAGAGAAATTTCCATCCAGAGAAATTTCAACCTAGAGAAATTTCCATCCAGAGAAATTTCAAACCAGAAATTTCTCTAGCTTGTTCAATTTTTTTGATTTTCTATGTTTTGAAAATGTCTTATCCAATTCCCAAAATGGTGCAAATCAGAGTATTTTCTGGTGATTTTAGGTACATCACACATGAAATCCACAAGCAATTGTTAAACTAAAGTTGGTACTTGGACTCCTCAACACAATAAAATGAGAGTTCACCACTGCATTTGTCTTATTTTTATTTTATTTCTAATCATGCTTTGTATGATATGTTTTCTCTTGGCAAAAAATGACTTGTTATGTATGAAATTATGAACTATCTGAATACTTATAATTATCTCTTCTACTTTCATCTTTTTTTTAGACTTCTACAATACTTTTACTTTATGATAGTTTGTATACTCGATTAATTCTCACCCATTTGTTTCCCAGCTTATTCACAACAAATTCTGTCATAACTTCAGTAAAATTGTTATCCCTTCTGTAGGTGCCTTGACAAAGCTGCGGTAATTACAGACATTGAGAACAAAAATGGGGACTTCTCCAATCCATGGGGACTTCTCCAATCCATGGAGGCTTTGCACCGTAATGTAGGTGGAGGAGCTAAAAATATTGATTCACATGTTTCCAATTTGGGCTACTGGAATCATCATATGTGCTGTTTATGCACAATTGGGTACATTCTTTGTTGAGCAAGGGATGATGATGGACAGGACCATTGGTTCCTTCTTCATTCCTGCAGCCTCTCTTTCAACATGTGACATCATAAGCGTTATTTTCTGGGTCCCTGTTTACGATAGGGTCATCATCCCTATTGTGAGGAAGTTTACTGGCAGAGAGAAAGGCTTTATAGAGTTGCAACGTATGGGAATCGGCCTCTTTATTTTAGTACTATGTATGGTATCTGCTGCTTTGGTGGAGATGAAGAGATTGGCACTTGCACAAGCCCTTGGTTTGGTTGATGAAAATGTTCCAATACCACTTAGTATCACGTGGCAAATACCCCAATATTTTTTGTTTGGTGCTGCAGAAGTATTTACATTCATCGGGCAGCTTGAGTTCTTTTACGAGCAGTCACCGGACGGCATGCGTAGCTTGTTTGCTGCATTGTCCCTTTTGACGACTTCCATGGGAAGCTACTTGAGCTCCTTTATTCTTACTGTAGTGACATCTCGATCAACGGAGACTAGGATGAGGATGTTGGCGAAGGGGTGGGATTTGGGGGTAGGGGAAGATCTTGAAGCTTTTGGTCATTTGGTTGTAGGAGAGAGAGAGAGAGAGGGGGGGAGAGAGAGAGAGGAATCGTGGGCAAAGAGTCAAATTTCTCTGATATATGTTTAGGGACCTTAGACATCAAAAAATAATTTTGTGAATCTCTTCCATTACGAAAAGTGAGAGAGGGACCCTAGACTAACTTTCCCTATTAAATTTTGACACTGATATAGACTGAAAGGTACCATATTGAGGTCACTTAAGTTAAATTTATAGTCTTTTAATTTTGTTTATTTGGCGGACATGATGTGTTTGTGCACTTGTACAGATTTGACAGGAAATATGCAAATTCAATTAAAAAGGGTACAAAAGCAAATTTTCCGTGCGAGAAGCGAAAAATCCTAGTCAACTATCTTACCGCACGTGTAGCCTAGCTCCACCGCACCTGTGGCCCACCTAGGGACTCGTGTGCAAAATTTTGGGTGTGTTCTGTTGAGAATAAAAGAAGGAAAAATAGGCTAACCTAGGGTTCAAAATTTATTTTAAGAAAAGGAAGGCTAGGGTTTAGAGAAGGTGATTTTTCCTTAAGCTTGAGAGGCAATTTTCATGGGAGCTTCCATCTCTTCCACCTCTTTCCATTCCTCCATGAGTGGCTAGGTTCTCATTTTTTAGGGTTTTGATGAAACCCTAGCCATGTGAAAGGGATTTTTCTTAGGCTTTAATTGCGAAATGGTTTGAACGCATGTATGGATGTTTTAAAAGTTTATAATAATTGTTCTTTTCATCTTTTCAAGTATTTTACTCTCTATGATTGTTTAATACTTTCCATACATTAGTTTTCTTTGTGTTTGTGTTCAAAGTACGAGATGAGTCATACTACGAGAGACGGGTCGTGTTGCTACCATAGTTTAAAGCAAACGCCTCGTGCTACTTGGGATGACTCATAACTGTACGTTGAATGTAACAACCCTCTTGATCAATATTTCAAACTTGTAGTTGTGAAATATTGAGTATTTCAAACCAGATTGTAATTGAAGGTCGATGTTTAATCTCGTTTATATGGTTAGTGGTGAATTCTTTGCCCTAAGATTTTTTTCCAAAAATCAATCTCTCAAACCCTATGTTTAATTATCAATTTAATTTCTCAATTTCATTTAATTCTTGTTTAGTCATAAAATCTCTCAATCTTTTTAATCAAAATTAATTTAGGAATTTAGTGATTAAATTAGTCTAATTTCACAATTGTCCCTGTAGATTGATAACTGGACTTGCAATTATTCTAAAAGAATTGGTATAGTTTAGTGTTTGGATTTGGTGTGTGTAACGACCCACCAAATTTTGCACAACAGTCTATAATCGTTACGTCAATTTATATTTTAAAATCTCGTTTTAATTATTTTGGAATTGAAAATGGGACATTAATTTGCCTTTTCTATAACCATTGATAATTTACAACTCCATTTCATCCATATCTTATTTGCATTGTTATTTCAAATTCATAATGTAATTCTTAAATTTAATTTTAAAATTCACATTTAAATTTGAGTTATTCAACTTGAATGATCAATGCGTATAATATATTAATTGAGCCTCACCAAGACAAGATGGAGTTTTTTTTTTTTTTTTTTTTTTTTTTTCAGGCAAAATAAAATTTTATTAACTTAAAATAAAGTATAAATTTGAGGTATTCACCTTGAATGATTAATGCTTATAATATATTGAGCCTCACCAAGACAAGATGGAGATTTTTTTTTTTTTTTTGCAAAATAAAATTTCATTAACTTAAATAAAGTGCATTGAGTTAATAAGGATTAAGAAAAAAAAAATTAATAATCCCCAATTTGAGAGGGGGGGAGTTTTGTTGGTATACTTTGGGTACTCAATGATAGCAAAATTACTCATCACACAATTGTTTCTTAATTTTGATTTTTTTTAAAAAAAAAAAAAAATCAAGAAGCATCTTAAGTAAAAGGTAAATTTAAAGTTTAAAAATCCAACCTAAGCCTTTGAACTGTGCAAATGATAAATGAGACTCAAACTTTGATCAATTACGTGAGGAGTATATTCACTTACCGATTCATATCGCTCTCAACGGTCTTAATTTGGATGTGTTGTTGTGGTGGTGAAATTTTTGAAAATGAAGAATATTTGGGTAGCAATAAAATATGTCAATAGTGGTTCACAAAAAGAATATTTGGGTAGCAATAAAATAGCCTAGTTTAGGCTAAAATTCACAAAAAAGACAAAATAGGATAAAACAGTTAATAAGACAAAATATCACATCAAATTCATAATCATTTCACTTTTTTTCTCACAAACATCACATTCAATCACAAAAAAATCCAATCATCTTTCCAAACACAAAAATTTTAACCTATTAAAATAGTCAAAAACTAAAATAATCTACTAAAATAGCAACTTCCCAAACGAAGCCATATGAAGGTAGGAAAAATAGCTCTTCAAATAGTGAAAGGTTAGCATGCAAGTAGTAAAGGGTGTGTTTGGTCAGCTTTTAGACTAGGACAACTCTCTTCCTCTCCTCATGAAAAAAACAAAAAAAAAAAAATACAATTTGGGATTTGTGAATCATTACGAGTTCACGAATGGTTATAGTCTCCAAGTTATTGCTGGAGATCGACTTATTTCTTCTCAAATTTTGCATTGGGCAAATGAATTATGGCACGTCAATTTTTATTTTTTATTATTATTAAAATTGCAATACAATGATTGAGTTAATAATTACAACATAATAGGATCCGAATGCCAACCAATAATTCTGGTGCCTAGTGAATTTTTTTTTTTTTTTTTTTTTTTTTTTTTTTGTAGCAAAAAAATTTTTATTGAATAAAAATAGGATAAATCCTTTTAAATCTTGCATCAATAAAGGTAAAAAAGGGACGTGCTTAAGTATCCAAGTAAAATCTCTTTATCTCAATTAGATTGGCACAAGAAGAACCATCGTATCATTTGTTGCACTCACCTAAAGCTAGTTAAAGAGAGATCAACCAGCAACCACCCAAGAAAAGCAATCACTAGCAGCAGACAAAATAAACCACGAGCTAACACTCCTCAATAGCTCCTAAAATCTTTTTCTTCATCCAGTTATCATCCAGTAACTAAGCCAATGGCAACAATTCAACAGTCGTAGCTTTTGTATCAACTATTGAATGATAGTTGAACGAAAAATTATTAGAGAGGATCCCTTCTTAAATCATAAGGTTGCAACTTGGGCTTGGTTGAGTTGAAGGTTTGCCCAAACTTAATTTAAAATGTTACAAGATTTTTGTCCAAACTTAGTCTGAATTATAAAAAGATTTTCTTAAGTCTCAACTTGAGCCCAACATTTGCCCCAAGTTTAACTCAAAAAATTCGATATTATATAGGGTTGCCCAAATTCAAACTTTAAAAAATTATCTTTAATTGACTAAAACTAATATATTTGTTGGCTTTTTGGCTTTTCGAAGGGTATTTTTGTGAATGTGAGCGTGCCAGCAAGGATCAATCAGTCCTTACAGAAATTATAATTGCCAACCAATTATCAGACGATTGTGTTTTAGTTCTTTTCAGCCTCAATGAAGAGGACTTTTACTGGTGGCTTGACTTAGGAGAAATTAAGAGAAATAACAGTAATATGAAGAACAATTGAAGTATTTCATAAAAATGAACACTTACAACGGTCCGAACTCAGCCTCGGAGAGGTTTACAACAGCAATCTACTTGAATCTACTTGAAGCTACTCCTATGAATCGAAGTGCAGTGCGAGTATTTAAAGTGCAGGTATTTAAAGAACAGGTATTTAAGGACTGGAAATATAAATGACTGGAAAGAAAATATATGAAGTAAATGACTGGTTTGTATGATCTGAGTCCGTCCCTCTTTCTGGGGGCTACCCTGCTATTTATACTCGTCAGTGATGACCTTCGAACTGCACTTCGAACTGTCGAACTGCTCCTCCATGATCGCTGGTCATGCTTCCTTACAAGTAGCTCCATTACGCCATTACTGGCAGTTGAGCTTCCCTCTTGTACTTAGATTTGAATATGAGTAACCGTTTGAAGACACGTCATCTTGCATCCCGTTTATTTGATCTAGTGTTACTCGGATCATGTGAGGACCAATGTTTATTGTCACGTGTACGATCAGGATTAAAGGCTTGAATAACCTTCCTTTATTACCCTTACTATGCCACGTGTCGAACTGTAACTGGCTTTTACAAAATATGTAGCCAACAATATTGTTCTTTTAAAAAATAGGCTACACAAAATGTCTCAAAAATATAATAAAGAAAGTTCATGTTATATGATCGATATAATGTATTACAATGCATTATAATTTAATTGAAATAGTGAGAAAATTATATGTAATTTATAGTTTTTTGCATTTATATAGTTTTTTTGGTCTCTAAAACTCTTATATGTTATAACGTCATAATTTAAGCTATTCAAATTTTAAAATTATTTTTTGCTATAAATTAAGTTTTTACAGTTATTTATTTATAGAATCATTTCTAACCAGATCATATGAACCGAAATAAAAAAACAAAGGAACTAAATAAATTAAATTGATATATATATATATATATATATGGTGACAGTTTTAGAAAATAAAATCGAAATTAACCCATTCCATTATAAGAGATTAACTAGAGAATTCTATCAAGAAAATCACTTACAATATTGTACTATTTTAATTAGATATTCTTACTGCCTATGAGATAGTCATATACATTGCATAGATATGCACATAAACTATTACGAGTTGTCTATCTCTGTGTCCACTTGAGAGTGTCTCTCTCCACCCTACTGGTAATGCATGCTAGCTCCATGTCGGGCAATATTCATGGAAAGGTCATAATCTGGAATTTAATAAATGAGGCAATATATCAAATTGGTAATAGTATACAAAGACTATCAATTTTTGGCACAAAAAATGACAATGATTTCCATATTTGGTTGCATGGTTCGCAATTGTTGACTATTACTTGTCAATCAACAAATTTGAAGTTTAGCACACAAAAACAAAAACAAAAACAGGTGTGATAAACAAAAGCAATAACAAAAAAAATAAAATAAAAATATACAGGTTGAACACGGGAGACGATACAATGTTCAGTATTTTTTTTTTTTTAAAATTACAAATGCACTTGCCTGAGATATGTTAATTTGCTTCTTATATTTTAAAAAATTACAAATACCCCTTATTAGAATTTTTTTATTTAACAAAATTAATTAAAAAAATAAAATTCATAATTATTTTCCTATACAATAATAAAATTACCTAAATTATTAATTGAAGCATTTTCCTAATATTATTAAACATTATTAATTGACTTGATGATTTATTAATAAAATGAGCGATTTGTTATGAAATTATAAATTTCAGAAGGTGGAATGTAATTTCCAAAACTACATAAAGTAATTTGTATTTTAATCAAATCTCAAGAGATGTATTTATAATTCACCTTTTTAAAAAAAAAATTTATTTCCCAGGTATTAGAAGTTGTGGGGACATGATTTTTGAATGGCAACACATGGTCGAGGTGGCACTGAAGTGTCAACCGAGGTTCTACGTGTCCTGATCATGATGCTGAAGTAATCTCGGCTAGGCCGATGTTATCTGTGTAGATACCGGAATCCGAGGTAAACGGATAAAGGACAAGAGTCCTAGAGTGAGAGAAGGCTTCAGTGTGGATAAATATAAGACTCTTAGGGAGTTTATCCCAATCCTACTGGAAGTCCAAGATTAGCAGTAATCCAGACCAGAGCCTATTGAAGCCAGGCTTTTATTAGGATTAGGTTTGTAATGGCTATAAAAGAGAGGCACCATCGTGGGTTTAAGATACGCTTTTTGTATTCTAAATAGTGAGTTATGCACTTTTGCTATCTTTGAGAGATAATTGACTTGATCGTCGGAGTGCCCCCGGGTGGACGAACTACCACTGGAATCTCTTCTTTCTGTTGCAGGTCGTTTGGGCATAATCTATTCTGCCGGTGCTCTCTAGCTAAGTACTAGTTTGGCAGTGTGGTCAGAAATCGACCCACACAATTTGGCGCCATCCGTGGGACAGAAAGGAGAATAGATGGCCCATAACGGACAGAAAGAGAAAGTTGGAGATGACACTCCTGCTGGGAGTGGAAAACTTGTTGACCTTGACGTCGAAGAAGACAACTGCAACAAAGAGACTCGTGATAAGAATCACGGAGAAAAGGACGTCGGCCAGGAGGGCGACACGTGAAAAAAATCAGACCGAAGTGGGTATTATAACGAGGACGACCTCCAAGTGTGGAAAGAAAGATGCCTGC